AAACTTGAACCCACAATCAGAGCCACAAAACCACAAAATCGATCAGCTGAATTTAAATTCCTTATTGGGGGGCCCGCAGTAGACCTCCCCCCTGCTCACGATAACCTCGGACGTGCTAGCCGTCGATCCGATCCGATCCGATCCGATCCGCTCCGAGGCACCTGGGTCAAAAAAAAGTGGGTTTTTTTTTTTTTTTGGTTTTTCCCTGTCACTTGCCCCCAAAATACACCAAAAAGGGCCTTTTTTCGGGGGCTATCCAGCCATGAGGGTATGACGCTGACCCTTTTTTTTCAATCCAGAAGACCAACCAACCTCGAATTGCACTCACATCAGAAACCAATCCCGGGCAATAAAAAAGAAGGCTGAAACTGGGCCATGTGAGTGTTTTTTTTAGGGTCTCCTGCCAGCAAAATACGCCTCAAAGGGATTTAAAAATGGGGGCTATCCAGGCATGCATAAGGCTATGATGCTGACCCTTTTTTTTATCCATCCAGATGACCTACTGTCACATAAAAGTCCAATCAGGGGCAATAAAAAAGGGCCCTAGGTACAACATGTGAGTAATTTTTTATGGGTGCGCAATTGGGAAGAGTCTGAGGCTTATTTTTTTTTATCCACACCATAGAACTAAAAACCGCTCGAGTGAGGCTCTAACCGCCCCTCCTGGAGGGGCGGGTTCTTCTGCACGCCCTTCCTGGAGGGGCGGGTTTGATCGCACGCCCCTTTTGGAGGGGCGGGGGTGTGGGCGTGCGGGGAGGGGGAGGGGGTGCAATTATCATCGCACAATTGAACCATTGCAAAACTCAACAGCGTACTTAGATGTTAAGATGCAATGTAAGTCTTCCTTCCACCTGTGTTCACGTAGAAGAATTGAAATAACCACAATCTAAGACTTGAGTGGCAGCCCCATGAACAGCAAAGTGTCAACCGTTTGTATCAATTGGATGAGGGTGACTTTGGCATAGAATCTGGTCAGGTTCCTTAATGTGTCTTACAAGATCACTCTTCATGTGAGCCTGGGTCTCTAAAGTGACAACAGGACACAAGGTTTGGGGGGCTATTCCAGATGTATTTCAAGAGGATAAAGAAATACAACTAGAATGAGAGAAAGAGATAAAAAAGATGGATAATATATTTCTTATAGCTTAATTATTTTACAATCAAGGTTTGTGACAGTCTTACTTTCCTTCAAGGGATGGCTATTTGTCTAGTGGATAAAGGATCTACACCTACTAACTCAAATGAAACTGACAAGGGTAATTGGTGTTGATACAGATAAATCAATCCAACCTCAATTTTTCAGATCCACGATCAAGGTTCTTTAAAGGGAAACCTATGTGGTTTTCAGTTATACCGCCAAACAGAGAAGATAATGATGACTTGGTTTGATATACAGCTGGTCGCGGATATCTGTTATCCGCTGGTACCAATGGATACCCACCAGGGGGTGCAGATTCGGCTGCGGATGGCCGTTTCCCCCCCCCAAACCTGGCGGATATCCTGGTATCCCAAGGGATACCCGAAGCCAATGGCCGGCTGGAATGGCTTCATTCCAGTTGGCAAGGTACATGTATAACTTGTCAACTGGAGGGTTTCCCTTCCAGTTGGCGATTTGGTGGTGAGTGGGGCACAGACTTCTTTGCAAAGTCGCTCGGCGGCGGCCACAGTACGCCAACAAAACTGAAGAAGGGCAGCATGCGCTTCAAAGGACTGGTGGATGTGCATGAGATGATTGTGGCCAACAAGCCGGGCCAGACCGGCATAGGGCCGGCGAGCAAGGTCAGCTTTGACCTCTATCTCGTCCAGCCTCCCCAGGATGTCTACCGGCCCTTCCGACACTACGTTGTCTGTCCTCCACCCGCCCCTGCCCTCTCGGGCCACGAGAAATATCTCTCACTCTCTGCCCATCCTTCCTCCTCCTCCCATTACCAACCCCCTAACCCCACCAGCCACAGCCTCTTGCCCAAATCCTTCCAAAACCTCAACTATCAACAATCTTATGCTGCCGCTCTGGCTGAACGCAATCAGTTCCTTGATAACCTTAGGAAGTCTCAGGCACTCATCAAGGCCGCTGACAATTGCTCAACTGTCATGCGCACTAAATTTGTTAATGAGATTGATAGCTTTTGAAATTTGTATGATAAGCAAAGTTATCTAACTGAACAAAGAAAAGTAAGCCCCCCCCCCTCCTTGCCGGCTGGAAGGGCTTCCTTCCAGTTGGCGGGGTACATGTATACCTTGTCAATTGGAGGGTTTCCCTTCCAGTCGGCAAGGTACATGTACCTTGCCGGCTGGAAGGAAACCTTTCCAGCCGGCGAGGATGTGCCTTGCTGGCCAGTTAAAGGTCGGGTATCCAAGGATACCCGCGGATACCCGCCAGCGGTTGCGGATACGGGTGCGGATGGTGCTTTCCCGGGAAAAAGCAGCCGGATATCTGGATTCGCCGGGGCCAGCTCTAATTTGATATGGTGATGTTAAGGAAGAGATTTAGTAGAAACTGAATGATTTGATCATTTAATGAGACAAAGAAGAAACTTAGTAGAAAGATGCAAGCTGAACTTGAAGCAATGACTTAAAAAGAGGGGGTGGTGGGGGGAGAGGACTTACCTCCAGTTCCTCTCCAAGG